GGCAGAGTTCTTGAAGGTCCAGGGTCCTAGTAGGAACAACCCGATCATACCATTCTTGCCACTCTGGTCTCACCGTGGGCCAGCATCGGTGGGGGCGATTTATCCTCCAGTTCCTCCAGTCAAGACCACCTTCGTAAAGGAGACATTGGTTTTCCAAACGAGGATATAGGGCTGGGAGCTCAGTAAGGATCTCTTTGAATATGGGCCCAAGCACGTAGTCTTGCTGCACATGGCGACAAGGGACGAAGATGCGTCCATCAATAGCGCTTTTCTCCCCAGCTTTGTACTTCTCACATTCTGCATCAATGATCCTTTTCAGGGCCACAGATGGGCTCGTACGCTCTACGACCGGTACTGAAGAAGAAGCCATTGACAGTATGCTTTTCTTGAAAGTGAAACCGAGAAAGGAAGTAGAGAGAAGCCGAAGATCGGTAGAAAGAGGGGTTGTGCGCTAAAAGAGCAAGGGGTTTCAGAGCACGAAACAAAAGAGTTTTTTAAAGCTTTTGTGTCTGAAAATATATTGCATAAGTTGTTAAGTATTAGAAGTACGAATACAAAGAGCTTCCTTCAATATTGATACTTTTGGAGGGAAAAACAAAGTCCAGATGTTGAGGCTAACTTCGAAGTAAAATATTTGGCTTCGAATCCAAGTTTTAGCGCCAAAAGCCAAAAAACAACGGCTTCGAAGCAGGTTTCCATACCCAAAAATATAAGAATACTCGAGTGTTTATTTTACTTCAAAGGGTTTAAAGAGCTGTTTTTAGGTTTTTAACAAAGGTAATGTCCTTCGAGGCAAAACTTGAGATTCTTTAAGGATGGGATTTGGTGTTCGAAACATCAAAATCAATGGGTGGTTTATATAAAATGGAAAAAGATGGGGGTTGTCTATTGAACTAAAATAGCAGAGAAAATGTCAATTTCAAACTAATCGATCATAATGACAATGACTAGATGTTGATTATGGCCAAAACAGACTTTAAGTATAAGATTGCTAGATCCGAAGCATTGTTTCTAATTGAAAATCAGAAAATTAGCCAAAGCTGTCAACTTTATTCCACAAATTGGAAAAGTTCATAATTGGGTCTTTTAGTGTTTCATTTAAAACAATTAAGTCCAGATTCGAAGGATGAAATTGTTCAATTCGAAGCTCTGAATTGAATTTTAAAAGACAAGTGGAAGCAGGGTCAAACAATGCCAAATGAAGAAGAATTTTGTTTACATTCAAGCCAAAGCGATTACATCAGATGACCCTATCTCGGTATAAACTCGAGCTCATAAAAATAAGGAATGGAATAAATAACAAGATCATGAAATTTAGTCCAACAATGATCAATAAATTTTTGTTCTTTCTTTATTCTATCTTCTATGTCTTCTAGCATTGGCTGCATAAATTGATGTGTTCTCACTTTGTAGTAGAGCTCTTCAGCCTTTATTTTGAAAGACACATCTCTCAATCCTTGTTCCAATTCGTCAATGTTTAAGTCATCCCAATACGCAGAATCTTTATTCTTGAAATCACCGAATTCTTCAATGAAGTTCTCTGCTTCGTACTGAGCATGAATTCGAAGAGACGAAAGTTGGTCTAAAGATTGTGTAGTAGCCATAGAATTTTGATGCCAGTGGAGAAGCAATGGAAGTTGGTCCAGAAACATATGAAGTTCTGCCTGGGCAAGGGGATTAAGGACATGGCCCCTAGTCAGAATATCACAAGCCCATCGAAGGTTCTTGAGAGGGACTTCGTCCTCAAGAACATTAAAAGGCAAGTGAGAGAAAGCTGCAAGCAGAAGTTGAGCTTGTTTCCGCTCAGCTGGAGTAGGAGAAGGTAGAGGTTTATAAGGTGGAAAGACGTTATTCATGGATAGGGCAAGCTTCAGTCTCTCTATCCAGTAAAGAGTTGGTAGAGGAGAAGGTATGAATACTTCAACTTCGGGAGACGAAGAAGAAGGTGTGGACGCTTTTATTTTTGGAGATAACACGGGAGCAGAAGGAACAAAGGCATTAATATAATCAAGCCAGTCAGAAGAACAAATCTTCGCCTTCTAGGCTAAGAATGATGGGTTGTACCATTGTGCTTCTTCAGGCGGCGGGCAGTGTGCACTATCTTTGTAGGCATGGAGGATGTATACCATGCTACAAGCAGATTCTCCTCCATACTACGTCGATGGTCAATGGGCACGTAGGGATAGACCACTGAACTTCGAGCATAGGAAGGAAACTCTAAAGGGTCAGTGAACTCAACAAAATGATGGTTGATTCGCTCCTTCAAATCACAGGTCTCAGGTGTTGACCAGCTTGTCCAGTCAGAACCCTCAGAAGAGGAAGAAGTTGCAGCTTTATCCCATACAGAGACTTGTGAAGAAGAGTTTCTCAAGTCCATATTTGCAACTTTTCGAATCAAAGGTTTGAGAGCAGTTTGTTCGAATTGTAAGGGTGAGTTAGAGGAAGAACTTCTTATGTCTATACCTGCAACTTTCTGAATCGAAGGATTAAGGGCAATGTGTTCGTAATCCAAAGGTTGGTAATTTGCAAAGGCATCCATGACTTGAATATAGAAAGGTGGGTAAAGGTGGCTAATAAATGCATGGACGTTCTTTCGAGGAGGAACAGCATCGACATATGACTCTTCGTGTGGTCGGTCACTGGAGGAAAAAATTAATTCGGCCATGAAATGTATCAGTTTGTTCGAATGCTAAGACAGTGGAAGTGCTTAAAGGATTAAACGAGAGTTTAATACAAATGGTGAGTGACAGTTGCATTTCTGGGTAGATGCAAAACCCATGCACGTTCTAAGACGTGGGGAAAAGACCCTGATCCACTAATATCACCAAGTCTTGGGTATATTAGTGCGGGGGGTAATGTTGGCTACATATTTTGTATGAGCCAATGACAATTCGACGTGTGGCAAAGTAAGGGTAATATGGGGAAATCAGTCAAGTCTCCGATCTTGATCATACACGTGGCGGTTAAAATTGGTTGTTATAAAATCTAAGTAACAGTAGATCAACAAAGAGATGCAAAGTGACGTGACTTCAACGGTTACTCACATTCAAATTCAAATATAGGAGGGAAGCCTAACCGCAAGTGAAAGCGTAGTGGAACTATTCATAAGGCAGCATGATCAGCGATTACAGAGGAGCAGTTCGACAGTTTGAAGTGCAATTCGATGGTTATCTTTGGGGAGTATAAATAGCAGGGAAGACCTCAGGGAAAGGAGGAGGCTCAGATCTAAAAAACCAGTCTTACTTTACATATTTCATTCCAGTTTTTATATTTTCTGTTCTTTACATTTCTGTACTTTGAATTCCTGCACTACACTTCATTCATAGGAGTAGTTTTCCAGTATACACTACTAAAATTTCACCTTTTTGCGACGGTAAAATGCCGTCGCTAATACTCCTAATGCCGTCGCAAAAACTTTTTGCGACGGTAAATGACTTTTTGCGACGGCAAGAGGGGGGTCGCAATTGGGGGGGTTGCAAAAAAGTTTTTGCGACGGCACAATACCGTCGCTAATGTTTTGCGACGGCATTTTTGCTTTTTGCGACGGCACTTTGCAGTCGCTAATAATATTTGAAATTTCTTTGACTTTTTGCGACGACACTATTTTACCGTCGCTAAAATTGTTATTTGAGACGGCAAAAATTACCGTCGCTAATAGTCTTTTTTTGTAACGGCAAAAACATTGCTTTTGTGACGGTTTGATGCCGTCGCAAAAAATATTAAAAAAATAATAAAATTTCTATTTTTTGCGACAGTTTAGTACCGTCGCAAAAGGTAAAACCTATGACAAAATCAATAAAAATATTAAAATTTTCTATTTTTTGCGACAGTATAGTGCCGTCACAAAAAAAAAAAAAAAAATCCTCCGATGAAATTATTAAAAATGTGATATTTGTTAGCCAACTACTAACTACTGGGTACTTGCCAAGTATCAAAACTGACAGGGTAAAATGTGAAATTTGTTATCATAAATGGAAATATCTTGAATGAGAAAAAAATAACAAAGATAAAACCTAAATTGTCTTCCATCTATTGAAAACAAAACTGAGCAACAACAATTTCAAGTCATAAATCAAATTTTCATGTGTCCCAAACTTTCAAAACATAAAAAAAGACCATAGTAGTATAGGGGGAGGAAGCTACATGGGAACAACACACGAAGAAACACCTGAAATTTACTTTTAAGGCATTAAAAACTTTTTTTGGTTTTTTGATACAGAGAACTCCATTATTCTTCTAGTCAAACAAGGACAGTAGAGATTAATGGAAGAGGGCATGATGGAATAATCTCACTTGGCACCTACTCCATCATAACCTCCTCTCGAATCACCTCCTCCACCATAACCTCCTCTCGAATCACGTCCACGCCCACCCCTACCACGGGTGCCGGGCCTGTAGTACCTATCTTCAGCGGGCTTTAAGAACTCGTTAATGCTGACAGACTGCAACAAGTGAATCAAGAATCAGTTAACCCAAAATTTGAAAACACCACGCATTTTACGTCCACCAAAAGGATAAGTATCTGAGCAATACATGAGTATTGACGACAAATTTCAGGGTAAGGAAAGCAATATGCATGAAATCGTAAAATCATCAGCTATATCCTATATAAAATGTGTTGAAATATGTGAAAAGTGTAAATAAACGTGTATAGGAATATGTGAAATGTGTATATGATTTTTATTGTTTGTTGACATTATTTGGTCCTTAACAAACATCCATCGGATATCGTTAGTAGGACCATTATTTAATTATCTTTCAACAATTCAGGAATTTGGACTGCATTTAGGCAAACTTTGAAAACCCCAAGAAAAGGGCAACAGCAGTTCACTAAATATCTTGCAATGGATGAAAGAAATCTTTCCGCAAGCCATGTCCAGATAACTCGATCAGCCATATAATAATTGGCCAAGTACTGTCCAGTTAAGACTCTCAATGTGAGCCCTTGAACTATATACACCAATATATAAAACATCTTTGTTATGTGGAGAGACGATAAGAACAAGCTAGAGAAGAAAAAATATATATGTTGCATGAAACTAAAAGCCAAGTTACAAAGGCCAAACTTTCAAGTGCATTTTGAGGATTAGTGAAGATGGTTTCGTGTCATTGTAATAGCAAATTCTGTGTTTAATTACCTCTTTCCTAGTGCCTGAGCTCTTGAGGTTTGGTGAAGATGGCTTTGAAGTGCTTTCTTCACAGAATTGTCCTCTTGTTCCACCCTAAAAACATGTAAATGAAAATTTTATGCCATTGATCTTCAAAACATTGATATACATTAACCAATTACAGAGTTTAGTATTAGCATAATGAAGGATCGTGCCCACTACTATACCCAATTCTAACAATATTAAGCTTCATCGACTGGAACTCATTCATCCAGTTTGCAATAGACTGAACATTTTCTCAAAATTTTCCACCTGTAAAAGACACTTTCATATGAATTGAGCAAATCAAGTTAAAAGCATACTTTGTTACAAATCCCTTGGTTGATAATATTATCACATTGTGTCTATGGGGTTGCCATAGTCAAAGATGAGCGAAGATGAAAACAAGCAATAGGCCAAATAATTACCAAACCTCATCCTCAAACCATTTGAGTTGTAACAGTCACAAATTATTATTCTAAGAAAAAACCAAATTTCCCCCTTTCTTGTTATCAAGTTAGTCTCAAATGTAATGCATATCAAACTGTACTTGTATTTATGTCTGTGCCAGGTAAAATTTCAGAGAAGAGGGACAAAGGTACTCACTTTAAACCACCAACTTTACACTACAAAATGCTTGACACCACCGAATGACCTCACAACCTTACTCCAGTACTTGTAATTCCTCTCTTCGTCCCTTGAACCAAAGTCAGGGTCTGCTTGAAAGAATACCTTCCCATCTCAAAACAAACAATACTAATCGAATGGAGATTCGGAGTCCAAATCTCCAGCGACTCTACCTCATTCCGAGAATAGAAGTTCCAGAGCGACAACATCTTCAACTTTGAAGAACATATCTACAAATTCTGCATCCCATAAGAAGACACAAGAACCAAACTCCAAATTCGAACATCCCGAATTCAAACATTATTGAATTTAATTATATCAGAAAGGGAAAAAATGGAACACTCATATTGATCAGCAATCAGTTGCTTATAATGACCAGTAACTAAAGGATCTCTTACAAATTCTTAGTCATCCTCATACCAGTGGCTTATGTATCAAACAAAGGGTTAGAAATCAAAGAAATAAAATACCTCATAAAATACCTCACACATTTTTACAAGGTAAATAATAATAATAATAATAATAATAATAATGTTAAGCAATAGTCTAGCATTAACATAACAAGTTTTGAAACACAATTCTCCAACCAAAACCCACAAATTTTTTAATGCCAACCTATTCAAAACCTCTTAAAATCAACAGTACACCCACTTCTTGAAATGATTTCCTAAACCCCAAATTGGACTAATTTTATTCTATTTTGATTCATTCCTTTTTCCCCCATAGAATTCAGAGAGCACATTAGAGAGAGAGAGACCTTCTGAAAGAAGGATGTTTGCGATGCTTTTCACCGGACCCATTGCCCTCCGAACTACCCTTGGAGTCCTCTTGCTGCCGCTTCTGCGACATTACCAATGCTCGCAGAAAACAACCACCACCACTAATAAGCTGCTATGGCTATGGCGGTGGGGGCAACATAGAGGTATAGAGGAACCGACTGGAATGAGAGAGTCGAAAAAAGAGTCAAAAGAAGCGTACCGTCTCGCCGCCGAACTAGTCTTCCCGCTGTTGAACCAGTCTCGCCGCCGATTGAAACCCTTCCCCTTCAACCCCAGTCTCTCTTCAAACCCTCTATCTTTTCTCTCTCAGATAGGTTTGCTCACTGTTTTGAAAGTGTTGTGAAATTAAGGGCTCTACAAGCCTGAAAGGAAATGAAAAAAAAAAAAGGGGAAAAGGCAGAGGGAAAAAAAAGGGGGGAAGTTTGGGCGGGCCTCCGGATGAGTAAGTGAAAAAGTAGGGAAATTTGTTTTATTTTTATTTTAATGATTTTTTTTTTTATTTGGTAGAAGCAGGGGTAATATTTTAATGAAAAATATTTTTTGTTAAAATAAAGTTAATTTTTTATGGTCAATGAAAAATATTTTTTTGTGACTCATTTTTTTTGTTATTAAAAATCAAAAGTTAATTTTTTGTGGTAGAGAAGAGGAAGCGGCAATAGTAGTGAATGTGGTGGATAAGAGGTGGTGGTGGTGGTAATGGCAAAGGAGATTAGTGGTGAAGTTGTAGTATTGGTAGGGAGATGGAGTGGTGGTGGTGGAGAAGAGGGAAGAGAGAGAGTGAGTAAGGTGAAGAGAAAGAAGAGAGATGAGAGAGATAGAGAGAAAAAAATTATTACAGATTCATGAAAAAAAATAAAATTAAAATTGTTAATATTTATAAAATTTATCTCTTATTTGTAATTGTTTTTTGAAACTCAACCTGTACTGAAATTTCTCCACATATATATAACATTTATATATATATATATATATATATGTTGGTAGGGATAGATTCAAAATTATCCTTATGAAGTATAAAAACATGTTTGAGGTGCAAATTCTTATAACAGTGCGATGAGATGAGAAAAAGAGTGATCGGTGCAGAAAGTTTCTACGTTGAATGATCGGCTGCCAGAAACGAGAGAGTGAGAAAGAGAGACAGTGAGATGGTGAGTGAGTGATGGTGAGACTGAGAGAGAGAGAGAGAGTGAGGGAGCCGATTATAGATTAGGGTTTTTTCTTTTGTTATAGGTGAGTGAGATGGTGAGTGAGAGATGGACGGTTAGATTTGGAAGAGGGAAAAAAAATGAATTTTTTGTGGCCAATGAGAGAAAGAGATATAGAGAGAGAGAGACAGGGAGACAGAGAGAGAAAGAGATAGAGAGAGAGACATAGAAAAATAGAGATAAACAAGATATGAGCGAGAGATAGACAAAGAGAGAGAGAAATAGAGCGAAAAAAGATGATCGAGAGAAAGACATAGAAAAAGAGAAACGAAGAGAGAAGAAAGATGAGCGAGAGAAATAGAGAGAAGATAAATGAGCGAGAGAGAAGAGAGATGAGCGAGAGACAAAGAGAGAAAGAGAAAGAGAAAGAGACAGAGACAAAGACTGACAGATAGAGAAGAGTGATAAGTGTTCCATTAAAATAAAGTTAATTTTTTGTGGCCAATGAGAGAAAGAGATATAGAGAGAGAGACAGGGAGACAGAGAGAGAAAGAGATAGAGGGAGAGACATAGAAAAATAGAGATAAACAAGATATGAGCGAGAGATAGACAAAGAGAAAGAGAAATAGAGCGAAAAGAGATGATCGAGAGAAAGACATAGAAAAAGAGAAACGAAGAGAGAAGAAAGATGAGCGAGAGAAATAGAGAGAAGATAAATGAGCGAGAGAGAAGAGAGATAGAGAGATGAGAGAGATAGAGAGAAGAGAGATGAGCGAGAGACAAAGAGAGAAAGAGAAAGAGACAGAGACAAAGACTGACAGATAGAGAAGAATGATAAGTGAGAGAGAGAAGAGAGGTAATATTTTGTGGTAGAGGAGAGGAAGCGGCAGTGGTGGTGAAGGTGGTGGATAAGAGACGGTGGTGATGGCGGTGATGGCGAAGGAGATTAGTGGTGAAGTTGTGGTAGTGGTAGAATAGATGGAGTGGCAGTGGTAAAAGAGAGGTAATGGTAGTAGTAGTAGTGGCAATAGTGGTATTGGTGGTAGTGGAGTGGTGGCGATGGTAGTAATTATGGTAGTCGTAAAGGTGAAATGGCGACCGTGGTAGCAGTGGTGGTAGTGAAATGGCGTTTGCAGTAATGGTCAAAGTGGTAGAGGAGATGAGTGGTAAGAGAAAGAGATGAGTGAGAGACACAGAGAGAGAGATAAAAGAGATAGAGAGAAGAGAGCTGGACGAGAGACACAGAGAAAAGAGACAGACAGACAGACAGAGAAGAGTGATGAGTGAGAGAGAGAAAGAGAAGAATGACAGAGACACAGAGAGAATGAGAGAGACGGACAGACAGACAGACAGAGAAGAGTGATGAGTGAGAGAAAGAGAGAGAAAGAGAGAGAGAGAGACAGAAAAGAGAGACAGAGACACATAGAGAAAGGGAGAAACAGACAGACAGAGAAAAGTGATGAGTAAGAGAGGCAAAGAGAAGAGAGACAGAGACAGAGAGATAGGAAGATGAAAAAATGGGTGAAAAGAGAAATGTTCAAAAGAGTAAGGCGACGTCGTTTATAGTAGATCGATAAATCGAGAATGAGCTCGATAAATAGAGAAGATGAGAGTAAGAGAACGAGCAAGACGAACATAGTGAGAGAGAAATAGACAAATAGACAGAGAGAGAGAGAAGAGTGATGAGTGAGAGAGAGACAGGGAGAGAGAGAGAGAGAGAGATAGAAAAAGAGAGAGAAACAAGAGATGAGCGAGAGATAGACAAAAAGAGAGAGAAATAAAACGCAAAGAGATGAGCGAGAGAGAGAGAAAAGAAATGAGAGAGATAGAGAGAATAGAGATGAGCGAGAGAAAACAGATGTGAGAGATAGAGAGAAGAGAGATAGACGAGAGACACAGAGAGAAAATGAGAGAGAGAAACAGACAGACAGAGAAAAAAGAGTGATGAGTGAAAAAGATAAAGATAAGAGATAGAGATAGAGACAGAGAGACAAGAAGATGAAAAAATGAATGAAAAGAGAAATGTTATATCAAAAGAGTAAGACGATATTGTTTTTTTTAATTTTTTTTGCGACAGAAAAAAGTACTAGAATTTATTCAAACCATTTTGTGACTGTATATATATGAAGCTGTCTCAAAACCACAATCACTATGCTAGGTTAGAGTTTTCCAAAAACTCTTTTGAGAAAATTATACTTTCTTGTTTTCTGTGTTATATTGTTTTTACTGAATTTTTTTAATATTTTAAGTATTTTTTTTAATTTTTAGACACACCTAACATAAATACACCTAAAAATTTTAAAAATTGTAAAAAAAATCTTTTAAAAATTCACTAAACACCAAAAATACAATAATTCAATACTTTTTTTTTTGTATTTTTATATATTTATTAATTTTAAAAAATATTTTTCATAATTTTTTTTTAGATACATCTAAGTAAGGTGTATCTAAAAAAAAATATTTAAAAATTTAAAAATATTCACTAAAAACAAAAAAAAAAAACACACAAAAGTCACTTTTGCCGTCTCAAAAAAGCAGAACATTTGCGACGGCACAATTTACCGTCTCAAAAAATGAGAGTATTTGCGACGGTATTTTCTGCCGTCGCAAATACTCTCATTTTTTGAGACGGCAAATGGTGCCGTCACAAATGCTCTACTTTTTTACGACGGCAAAAAATGCCGTCGCAAATACTCTGCTTTTTTGAGACGGCAAATGGTGCCGTCGCAAATACTTTGCTTTTTTGAGACGGCATTTTTTGCCGTCGCAAAAAAGTGACTTTTTGAGACGGCAAGTGTGCCGTCGCAAATAGTTCCGTCTCATAAACCCACTTTTCCTGTAGTGATATTGTCGCTGTAAATCTCTACGAGGCTGAGTTTGGATCATTGTAAGTCTTTCATACTAATGAAATGCTTCAATTGTTCTTTATTTAACTGTTCTTATGCGTAAATTCTCCTAAATCAAGCCATCAGTAAAAGTCCTCTTCATTGAGGCTGAAAGAACTATAACACAATCGTCTGAATAATTGGTTGGCAATTAAAATTCTGTAGGGGCTGATTGATTCTTCCTGACACGCTCATAATTACGAAAATAACTTTCGAAAGCCAAAAAGCCAACAATAATATACGTAAAAAGTCTTACGAAAAGAATAATTTGAATCATCGAATGAGCAACACCCTTTAGTCCACGTCCGGGGCCAATTTTTAATTAACTTGTTAACATTACGTATTATATATATATTTTTTTAAATAAAATTTCAGAGAAAATTAAATGTAAAAACTATCAATGGAACATTAATTTTGTCGTGAATAATATATTAGACTTTCTTTGACTCAGTTTGACCTGTTTCTTTCCCATGAGAGAAACAATAAGTAATAAAATTAAGCAAAGCATAATGACCGTTGACCATGCACAACAGTAACTTCGTTGTTGATATTAAATTTGACCTGTTTCTTTCCCATAAGAGGAGCATTAATAACTAAATCATTCAATATTTTTGGAGAATCACGTGTATGTATTTTTTAATCAATTATCATTTAATATGTTCTCTTATATACCTCATCTATATATATTCGTCACCAATCATAATACTATAGAATACTACGTGTTCATATTTCGAAATTATTGAATAATTACCCTCAATAACTATTTCCTTTGGCAATAATAAATAATAAAAATATAAAAAAATCACATTTTTTAAGTTTTTTTAAAATTTATGTCAAAAAAATTACTTGAGTTCGATCTAATTTACAAGAATCAAAAAATATATTTAAAAAAAAAAACGCAAAAAATATCACTGAAGGAAAAAAAAGTCAAATATTATTTTTTTGTCTTCAATGAATTTCTTTGTTTTTTTTTTTTTCAAGTTTATCTAATCTATTAAAACTTAAAAATGTAAAACTTCTTAATTTTTTTCTAAAAAAAGAAAAATAAAACATTAAAGATGATAAAATAAAAATAAAAATAAAAATAACTACTTAAAAATGCAATTGCTAAATCCCCATGCATCATGATGGAAAGTTGACCAAACGTTTTCTAGAGTAACGGAGGAGAAAAAGGAAATTAATTAATAACAATGATAGAGATCACTAATTTTGGACCTTTAAAAAGATTATTAATGACATGACACTTAATAAAAAAAAAATATAACACGAAGGCCAAAACATCAAATCATTCCTGGTGGGACCCATTGCCACATCATTAGTGATAGC